AAATGATATTGTTTCATCACTATAATCATAGGAACATTGTATAAGAGCAAAGTTCAATACATAAGGGGAAATCTAGTCATGTTGTACAATGGTCATTTTAATTACATTTCCATTTGGTTAAATATTTAATGTAAAATATTTTCTTAATATCATTACACCTATAGCATTCTCCAATATGTGTCTCATAAATAGCTATTAAATTTAAAACAATATTAGTCTAAATAATTTATACTATTGAAAATGACTTTAGGGTGGTAATTAAATTCATTATAAATTATAAATGTTTTCTAGGACAGATGTAAATTGAATGTACATCATCATGCGCATTGTTAAATCTAATTGATTTAAAACAGAAGTTGAATATTTTCTCCAGAAATCAAATTTTCAAATAAGTAAATTATGCATAACAAATTTTCTTACAAAAATAATGTGCTTGTTGTCAAAATAATATCATAAACAACAACAACAAAAAATAGAAATTCCCTGTAATATATCCTTGAAGGTCTTTTGAATTCTTTGAGTGAGCAAACATATATGAAACTAGATTTTATGAAATATAGACATAATTAGCATACATATTTTATTATTTGAAATACAATATTTTATCATGTTAAAATTGTTAAACTTTATAAAAGAGCACAATAAAATATTAGAAGGCTTATTTCTACATCTATTTTCATTTATTAGTTCCCATAAGTAATCCAATTTTTGGTTTTAAAATTAAATTTAAATTTTAAATTATTAAATTAAGTTATTTTAATTCTTTAATATATTCCAGATCATACTGGATACCCTATTATATAATATACATAAATTATACAGAACATCTTATGATAAATGCACATGAATTGTATTATTATTTTTTGAGATATATATTGCTTCATCATAGAGGGTGCCATGATTTACTAAACAATCATATGAATGGTCATTTGCTTCATTTCCAGTTGCATTTTATTCCACTAAAGCTATAATTTGGGTAAGTGTCCTCCAAATAGTTAAAGGCTTAGCCTCTAGACTGTAACACTATTGGGAATTGGTAGAATCATTAAAAGGTGGGATCTATCAAGTGGGAGCAAGTTAGATCACTGGGGAGTTGTCCTTTAAGGGGATTTTGGTTCCTAGTCCCTTCCTCTTTCCCTTGTTTCTTCTTTTTCTCCCTCTCTCTGCTTTCTGGATGTCATGAAGTGAGCAGATTCCTCTACCATTCACTTCTTGTCATGATATGCTGCCTTGACGCAGGTCCAAAAGCAATGGAGCCCACAAATTATGGACTAAAAGCTCCCGGATTGTGAGCCAGAATGAATTTTTTCTCCTATTAAGTTGATTTTCTCAGATATTTGTTTTAATAATGGAAAGCTTGACTAACATAATTATTGAGAATATTACAAAGAATTTATATGTGTACATCTACCACTATTTGCTATATACCTTTAGTATGTATCCTGAAAAAGTAACCTGCCTCACCTCATGTCTCAAGTTGATTCCCCCCCCCCATTTGTATATATAGTCAAATGGCATTTTCATATTCTAAAATTGTACCCAATTCAACTCAGTTTTGAAGTTATCCCCCTAACTCTGCTACATTTAATGTTATATCCACAAACTATTTCTAGGTTTCTGAATTAGTGAAATATCCTCTTCATTCATAAGTGAAATTTATGACAACTACAAAAAATTTCCCTTGGGGAGTATTTATTCTGTACTGACTTTCTCCACTTGTCTGCTATGTTGTTTGTTTGTTTTTATTCTGCAAAGTTAACTGCAGTACATATTTCTTCAAAAATTCACAGGTAAAATAATTATCATTCTGTTTTAGAAAATGCAAAAGAAAACAAACATATGTTTTGTTTTAATTTAAGATGGATTTATTCTAGAGATCTGGAAATAACCTGACAGAGTATGACAAAGATCTTTAATAAAAATATAGCTGTTTGGTGGTAGGTACAATTCAATTCTATCATGAAATGAAGTGCATCCTTTCTATTTTTGTATTTTAGCACAGAAACCATGCTTTTTAGAAACCAAAGTCCATAGAAATGTGTGTGGCAATGCCCCCTCCATTTGCTGCAGTTCTGACCACACTAGATTCTTTAAGACTACATAAATGATAACTAGAAATATTCAAAGAAATTAAGTTGTAATCATATGCCATCCTAAAAAGCGGTGAGAAAACAACCCCTTACTTTCTCATATCAATTAAGAATAAACATGGCTTTTCTTTTTTTGTGCCAATCTTTTATTTCCTCTCCATTTTATGCTTATTTTCATTCTTCCACAATGCTGCTGAATTCTGATGAGGAGGCAATGTCCAACCCAATCTGTTCAGGTAATTGCTTTGTATACTTAAACTCTCATTCAGTTGAAATAAGACAAATAAAATGCCAGGATGCACAGTGGCCATTTTAGCACCAACCACAGGTAATTGTTAGTCTTAACCTTTGCCAAGCCATTTGATGATGTTTGATAATGTAGTTGTCAAGAATATTTCTCTAACATCATTCTTGCCTGGGTAGGCACTGTGTTTTAAGTCTGTAAATACTGACATTAAAATATTTTATAATGAATTTTAAATTATATACATTCTCAGTTTGAAGTATCAGAATAGGATATAAGATTAGATGGATAATAAAATATTTCTAATCAGATAAAAGTTAGTAAAAAAGACAAATGTTGATTTCAAAGACCAATTCATTGTAAATGTGCTGCAAGAAAATAATGATAAGTGACATGAAATTAAAAACTAAGAAAATAAATGGCTAGATTGAAAGAATGAGATTACTGAGAGAATTATTTATTTTGATTAACCTACAAACTCTGTAGGCACAAA